AACCCACGAACAATGCTAACAACGAATTTCAGGAAGAATGTGCTAAATAACTTAAACATTTTTGTGCATTCTTGTACGAACCGTTTCTTAATTTATATTTTGTTCATAGAGAAATACTAATTTGATTTACTGTATAAGTACCTACTTATTACAGTTCTTTCTTTATGCATTGAAGTTTATATGTTCACATTTATCATGTTTTGTTTATGCAGAATTATTAATTTGCTATATTTCGAATGTTTATGCATTCAATTTGATTATGTTCTCATTATCATGTTTGAAAGTCCCTTTCAAGGGGGCCAGCATGTCACTTTATGTGACTGCGGCGAGGTGGCGTGAGCGAGCGAGCGCTTGGCGTTTTCGTGCGACTTTGAGCGGGAGAATGTGTTTGTCTTTGTACGAGTAAAGTCTGCCATTTTTATTAAACATTTACAACACAGTGAATCTCATTTTATTTACAACACTGGGAAGAGAAGAAGAGAAACAAACAATACACTTTACCGCTACACAATTTGAATTAAAAGAAATTTTAATTATTATATAGACATAAATGCAATCATTTTATAAAATCAAAAGATGCTAGTTACAATATATTGTAAAGTAAATTTAATTACGTGATTTATTTATTTACATTAATTAACAATGAATTTATACAGCCTTTAAATGGATTAATACATAACATGGTACTTTAGTCATCACCTTCATCAGAACTTTCACCAAAACTGCTGTCCTCATTGGTATCAACTGAAATAATGATGATGATCTAAATTACACAGTTTATCTTCCTCCTTAATAACCTTTGCCAATCACTAACCGAAACATTTTCAACTGCATTTAAAAAAAGTTGATTCACATCGTTTAGTTTTTTGGCGGTTTTGTGGTTCTTTATTGGTGGTTTATTTACATGCTACAGAACAAAACAATATTTACAATTATATACAATGACGGTGTCGCTTGACGTTTCGTCGTGGGTCGTTGTCGGGCAGGTTGCTTAGGGCGACTCTGGCGTACGGCGTCGACGTCTCGACGAGGATCAACCTCCACGTTGGAGGGTTGGCTGCCGGTAGTCGCTTTACGGGTGATGGTGGTAGCGGACCCAGCAATCTCGGCATCGGTGACCGCTGCCGGACGTGTCGTATGGCGTTCCGTCGTGCCTTCCGCTCCGCCCTCGGCGTCGTGGGAATGGGCGGCATGAAACTTCGGACGTTCGGAGTGTCGGCTGTTTGCCCCTACTAGAAAGCCGGGGACTTTCTCCTATTTACGGTGGAATCCCGTTTAGGTGCCCCTACTACGTAGCCGGGGACTTTCTGCCAGGCTATAGATCAGCGCTGGACTTTCAGGATTCTTTCCCTACTCGGAAGCCGGGTCAGAATACTCTCCACTCAATCAATCAATCAATCAATCAAGATACGTTTATTTACATCTTATAGGTATATGATACATTAATTGTTAGTATTAGATGAATGGCGGACTGCTCAGGACTTGTGTCCTCTTCAGCCCTTGGTTAGTACGTGATGTATGAAATGTATTTACAATGCGTGTGATTTATCTATTCTATATTGTGCAGGTATCGGCTCGTGTCCTTACTCTCCACTCGTCGCGCGTCTCCTTATAAAGGCCGTCGTAGGCGGTGGGGGCGCGGTTTGGACGAGTGGGAGAGTGGTTTAGCGTGCGCCGCTAAACTTGTTTGCGCGCGCGTTGCGCGATGTCACCACAGTTTAAATGTTTTATTCTTAGACGCCACTTCAGTTATTACTTTAGCCCATTTTAGTTCAATCGGATTTAACTCACAGTAAGGAGGCAACCTCAACACAATTTTGTTTTTGCTTGTTGCAATTTCGTCAGGAGCTTATGCATCAAATTTATATTTATTTAAAATAATTAATTGTAAAAATTCAGATCGAACCATTTCTTCATCGAAATCGATACCTACCTTTTGCTTGAAGCCACTCTTGCATTTGGCCTTTACGAGATGACGATGTGGGAATCTTTTCTAGCTTTCTTCGGCTATGGTATGGTGCATTGTCCATAACAATTACAACATTTTCAGGAATTTAAAAATTATGGGGGGGCAGTGAAATTATTCACGGGGTCACCTGATGAGAAGAGAGTGTTTGAAACAGTTGCCCTTGAACGTTTGGTGAGTATGGATGTTTTTTTCGCACCCAACGATTTTTTACGTCTGTTTCCGTAAGTAAGCAATTTTTTGACTTTTTTAAAAGTGGAAAAAGTAACTTGCGTACACCGAAACCTATTAATGATAGAGTCGTAGTTTTTCCACTTTTTGGAAAGCTTGTATGTTAGGAATGTTTCGTGTAATTTGTAGATTTTGATTAGTCCATTGTTTTTGTTCAGATCGTCCTAACCAAAAAAATCACCTTTTGAAGGGTAACTTCGGACAATGGTGCGAAGTTACAAAAGGCAACTGGGGAGCCGCCCCTACCAGAATTATTCGGTAGAAGTGTTAAGAGCAGCAGTAGCAGATGTTAAATCTAACAAAAAGAGCATAAGAGAGGCGTCGGAATTTTATGGGATTCCAAAATCGACAATTGGTGACAAAGTTAAAGGGACTCATGATAAAAATCCAGGACGGCAACCAGTGCTGAACACTGATGAAGAAGCAAATTTGGCTCATGGAATATCAACTGCAGCAACCTGGGGTTTTCCACTAGTGGAATATGATGTAAGGAAAGTTGTGCAGAGCTACCTTAACCGAAAAGGAGTCCAGATTGATCGATTTTCTGATAATTTGCCAGGAGTAGATTGGGTTAAGAAGTTCCTAAGTAGAAATAGACAGTTATCAGTAAGGCTTGCGCAAAATATCAAAAGAAGCAGGGCTAGCGTCAACCATGCTACTATTCAACAATATTTTGATGAATTAAAAATTTCATTAGAAGGTGTGCCTCCTGAAAACATAATAAACTATGATGAAACAAATTTTAGTGATGATCCTGGGCGAGTGAAAATAGTGTGCAAGAGGGGCAGTAAAAATTGTGATCGAGTTATTGATGCAACGAAAACCAGCATATCCGTCATGATGGCCGCTTCTCCTTCAGGAACATTGCTACCACCGTTTGTCGTTTATAAAGCGAAGCACAGGTATCAAGAATGGGAGGAGAATGGACCCTTAGGATGCCGATATTCCTGCACACCATCTGGCTGGTTTGATGCCCGAGCTTTTGGAGAGTGGTTCCAAGAAATAGTTTTACCCTACTACCGGAATAAAGAAGGAAAGAAATTAATGATTGGTGACAACTTGTCCTCTCACATAACATTGGATGTTATTCAGAAGTGTGAAGAAAATAATATTACATTTGCCCTACTTCCTGCTAATTCAACTCATGTTTGCCAACCGCTTGATGTGGCTTACTTTGGTCCTTTGAAGAAATGTTGGAGGCGAATCCTAACCGATTGGAAATTAAAAAGAAGGGGACCTTTCCAGAAATCCGATTTTCCCACATTACTCAATAGAACATTAAATGAAATCAAAGCAACTTCTGAGAAAAATATCATTTCGGGTTTCAGAGCAACCGGAATATGGCCTCTAAATGCAGACCAAGTTTTAAAGAGAATCCCAAGACAACAGGATGAAAATAATGATCCAAATGCTTCACTGCTTTCAGACAGTTTATTAGACTTTTTAAAAACATCGAGGATGCCCGAACCTAAAAGAAAGACCAAAAGAAAGCGCATAAATGTTACAGCTGGAAAAGCTGTGGAGATCAGAGATTTCAGTGCACCAGAAGCGATATTAAACCAAGTGGGACAAGAAGTAGACTTAGAAGACTTTGATGATGAACCATTAAGTGTTATGAGGGACCAAATATTAGAAAAGAAAAGGCTTGACTTACTTGAGGCCGGCCCCTCTCATCATGACGATTTTCCGACAGAGCACTTTGAAGAAGAAAATTTAACCGACAGCAACTTGAAAGATAAACCTGAAGTTCAGAACGTTAAACCTGGAATGTTTGTCATAGTAAAGGTTCCGATAGAACATTCTTCAGATATAAAATATTATGCAGCCAAAGTTATAGAAAAGGTGGGTGAAGATACTGAAAGTCCCCTTCTTCAAGTAAGATTTTTAAGAAAAAAAAAAGACTGAGAAAGATACCTACTTTCACTTTCCGGATGTTCCTGACCAGAGCTATATTGAGGGTCATGATATTTTTGAGATCCTCAATCCAGTGCCTTGTTATATAAATTTATATAATTAAGTTTTTGACTGATATTTTGATAGTAATGTTTTTTTTTTAAATAAAACACGTTAAATAATTTGCAGAATTTTTGTATTTTTTGAGTTTCTATGTGAAAACAACTCTTTTTTTTTTTAAAAACATATTTGTGTCCGAAGTTACTTTTTAACTCGTAGAACTTCAATTTTATGCATTTTTAAATACATGTCCGAAATTACCCCACATATGTAGGTAAATTCGGACACTTTTCAAAATTAAAAAAATATATATATACCAGAGAAAAAAGAACTATTTTTTTCAGCAAGTCATAGCGGAACGGTGTAGTAACCTACGGAAAAAAACCTGGTTCTATTCGAAATAAAATAAGGTAAAAAAAAAGAAAAAACCTCAAAAACTGTCCAAAGTAGCCCCGTCTTACGGTATCTGTTAAGAATGCATGTACGTGTTAATACCACATTCCAAAATAAATAAAAGAAAACTTACTTAAAATTAATTTGCTTCATTAATTTATATAAAGATGAACGATACATTTGTGGTAAATCCTCACGACTATTAATTTCTTTTAAGATTTTGTCCAAAGTGGGAAGTTCATTGAGGTAGAAAAAGTTGTGAATAATTTGACGAACTGATGTTTTTGTGCTTTCGTCAAATTGCGATACCAAAGGTGGGCGATCCCCCGAACGTTTAGAAGGAGTTACAGCCAGTGGCGGATCTAGGACGAGGTCGTGGGGGGGGCTTGAAATTTTCCTTCACCATTGAATAAGTTTTAGTATTTATTGTACATTAGTAACGTTACATTATCTCGTATGAACTACAAAACAAAATGAGTAATATCAATCCCAACTGGACATTTCTAATCGTCGGGGTTTCATTTTACAAAAAGTACTGATGACTTCCTCAACATCTATTTGACGTGACGAATTAATATTCGCGAGGGCTAATCCATTCAACCTCCCTTCAGTCATGGTACTTCGCAGGTATGTTTTGAGTCTTCTTAAAACCGAAAAACTCCTTTCCGCGGTTGCTGTTGTTACAGGTAAAACTAGAAATATCTGAAGTAGTACTCTTATATTTGGGAAAAACATTTCTTCGCATTCTTTTAGAGCTTCGATGGCAGTTTTCGGCACCGTTTGTTGTCCTTGCCATTTCTGCCTCCACATTTTCAATTCAGAGGTCAGTTCTAACATTGATCCTGGCATATCTTGATCGTAGAACTCAGCGGCTTTTAATATTGCCATATCGTCATACTCATCACTTCGTTCCCTAATACCTCGAAGTACTGATTTAACATCATCAACGTGAGACAGAGCAGTTGAAAGATCTTGATCAACACTCTGTAGGTTCTTACTCAGGTTCAGTGTAAAAGACAGGCAGTAGGCGGCAACTCCCATTGAGACTATGAAATCACTTCGTTTTAATGAAGAGCTAAACATTGCTGCTTTGCTTGAAGTATTCGGGTCATGATCATTTTCCAACTGCTCTAGGGTATCTACAATGGGTTGAAAGAGTTGCTGAAATGTGAGAACACTCTCGTGTCTTTCTACCCATCGAGTACTACAAAGTGCTTTCAACTTGCGTTTTCGTGTGTCCTTTAGATCAGATTCCTGGATGGTTTTTTCCAACAAAGCAGTGCGCTTAGCAGACGCTGACAGAAAAGTTGATACGGAGCCCAGTATTCCCATCATGTTCCTGATGGCAGGGATTTCGCAGCTCTTCGATATACACAGATTCAGCGAATGACTGAAACAGTGTGTATATAAAGCTAACGGCTGCTCTGATTTGATGAGAGCTTGAACACCATTAAACTTTCCCGACATGTTACTACCACCATCATAACCTTGGCCGCGAAGATTTTCGATAGACAGTCCCAATTTCGTTATTTCGGCACATATAACCTCTTTAAGATCACGTCCAGTTGTCGACTTCACTTCCACAAAACCCAAAAACTCTTCCTTCAACACTAATTTCCAGTATCAACGTATCTTACGCATAAGGTCATTTGCTCTTTGGTGCTTATGTCAGTCGTTTCATCGCAAAGAATGGAATAAAACTTAGATTTTTTCACATCGGCCACAATGCTTTTCTTCACAACATCACCAAGCGCCTCAATAATTTCATTCTGGATAGTTTTGCTGATCATCGTGCAATTTTTTTTTGATGTTTCTAAATGAAACCTGAGATCTTCATCTCCCGCATCGATACGAAACGACAGCAGATTTTTGAAAACTCCTTGACTGGTACCAACTATCTTGGTTGAATCAGTTGAGCACCGTAATTCACCGTCATCTCTGTGACCCCTCAATGGCAGATTATTGTGCGCACAAAATATAACAGTCTTGACAATGGGTTTAAGACGCCTTCTGTTGGCTTCTATAATCGCTGCTTTTTGTTTATCAAGCTGGGCTGCAATGCTTAAAGAGCCTTCATAACTCACTATTTTATTGAAATTAGAAGCTTTTTCTACCGAGAATGCGTGGTAGCTCGTGTCCTTATGATGGTTAAATACTTCAAGAGCTTTTTTGTATTTTGAAAGAGGCTCCTTCACCAAAGTTTTCAAAGCCTACAAAAATTTTGAGGAAGTGATTTATATGCTCATAGTTGATTAAGTTTTTTCAGTTACCTGATGATTACCAACTCCTGCCACAGAAGGTGCAAATAAAACGCACATTTTGCAAAACGCTCCTTTTTCTTGTTCGCTGTAGGCTAACCATTTGAACTGGCTTAGCCACTCAATCTTGAATTTTCGTTTTTGCTTGCCTTCAAAGTGAGACGGAAACACGTACGAACTATCAGGATTCCATGTTTCGCTTAAAAATTTTAGTTTTTCCCCGTCACTCAAGATTTTCCCAACTGCAAATCCTATGTCAAATAGTCGAAGGCTACCAGTGATGCTGCGATCAAATTCCCTTTCCTGGAATTCCGAAAGTAAAATTACCCGATTGAAAAACCTTTCGCAACAGGACTTTAAATTGCATTTCAGCAATTACACCTTACTCATGCACAGGTCAAAACGATTTACATCTGTTTTGGAAGCAAAATAACTTGAGTTCCCAACTATTACGTTACCCGAATCCACTAATAATTAAAGAAAAATTGTATCCTAGGTGCCTACCTGTGCAATCAATGGTTGATTAGACGGGGCTGGTTGACAAGAAAATGTGGACACTTTGCATTTTTTTGCGTCAGCTTGAGGTTCGGCGACGGCGACAGGTGTAGATTTAAAAAAATCTAAAATAGTTCGCTTCATTTTTTAACGCAACATAAACACAACACAACACAACACTCGCAATGCAAAATTCCAACTGGTTCTGGTGTAAGTGTAAATCGCAGTCAGCATTGAAACTGTTCCCAGTTTTCGGCTTTCTGGGCATTTGTTTATCAACCACTCTCCCCATCCTTCTTTAAAGCTCGTATTTTGCTTTCCGTCACGTATCAGTGTGCCGTGTCGCAAATCCACTAGCTTAGCTATTCAAATTCCAGGAATGCATAAAGATAAAAGAATAAAGCAATAATTACTGCCGACGCGTAGGCGCTGGCGGGTCCGACAAAATTGCAATATCGCCAAGCGAAAGATCTGAACGAAGCGAAGACGATGCCGGCTGTATTGGTAACAGAAAAACTTCTTCGGGGGGGGCTTCAGCCCCTCTAGCCCCCCCCCATAAATCCGCCCCTGGTTACAGCTCCCGTTTTCTTATCCTCCTTTATTGTTCGGTAAACCGTGGATTTTGCAATTCCTATATAAAAAAGTGTGTGTGTTAAATTAACATTTAATGTATATTTTTCAGCAATTTTTGCATCAATGGTAACCATCTTTGTGCCAGGGTCATCAGTGAACATCTGTTTATATAAGTTGAGTATGCACTGCTTTTCTGAGATCGATAAATGCCCCAAATTAAGACGCGTAGGCTTTTTTACAGGTGAAATGTTCGCTTTACTTGTACTTGGCGTGGAATCCATACTTCGAAGTATTTGCACCAACAAAATTAAGTACAGGTACCCAGTTTAGTTCTAATAAGAACTGATTTGTTTAATTGAAATTTGAACAACACTTAAAACATACGAAAAAGGCAAAATTAAATACAATACGTAGGTACAACACAATGCAAATGACACAGCGAATAAAGATGTCAACTAAATTGTCAAGATCCTGAAATTGCGTCTGTGTAAAAACGGCGCCGTATAAGCCAATCACAATTCAGATTTTTCGCGGGAGCTATTTAAATCGCTCCTCTTAGTTTAAAAACGGACTTTAGTCGCCAACCACTCCTCAAAGGTTACGATAGTCTACGCTGTGGCTTGTTAGTGCTCCATATCTTACACAATTGCAATCGGCAAGTCTCTCTCTTTCTCTCTCTCCCCAAACAGTAACACATACGACGAAGACCACGGATTAATCTACGAGTATGTACAGCTCCTTAACCCTAACCGGTTTTCCGCTGAAAATATACCCCAAGATATACCATCGAGACAACGCAGAACAATATTGGTACGAAACTCACCTTTTGGTAAAACGGATTACATAAATGAAAGTAGATACAGGCGAAATTGACTGCCCGCGTGGCCCAAATCCACGTAATTCGATTAAAGAAATCACTCCAATTCCGCAAGCGGCATTAAGGCAATCAAACCAATAATTCCCAAAACTTGAATCTAACGGATGCCTTAATATTAACCAATATCCATCGAGCAATCACTTCCACGACATCATAACTTCACCAGTCTTTCGCGATTTTCCTTAACGTTCCACCCCAAAGAGAAAAGTTCCGAATCGTACCACTCCGGCCATTGACGAAGACAATAATCATACCACGGCAAAAATTATACTTGTGACCAAAATTCATAGTCCTACCTCGCAGCCCCAAGAAAGTAGATCAGTAGAAAATTTTAAAAAAAAGTATTATTCTTACAAGCACCCCTGAATTGAAGGATAAAAAAAAAGGCCAACGTGTTTCATTCCTCCGGCACCCCTGACTACAGGGATACAGGAGGCGGGCTGCTCAGGGCTTCCTGGCCCTCTTCAGCTAGAGAACGGGATTGTAAGGATGGGTAAAGTTAGGGATGGGAATGGAAGGAACGGAGTTAGGGTGCTGAGGGGGAGAGTACTGCTCCAGCATTTGCCTCGTAGATTTCAACATAATGCTAGCATTATGCGAAGCTACGTATGTCTGAGGGAAACCCCCTGACAAAACCCCAGACAGAGCAGTCGGCAGCGGGATTCGAACCCACAACCTCCCGAATAGCATCGGCGAGCGCGACCACTGCGCCACGTGCCTCGGTGAATTGAAGGATAAGAAGAAAAACCTATTATTATTATGTTTTTGAAGATATGTTACACATAATAAATACTTAAATCCACTATGCTCAACATTACTTACCTATTAACCAATAAATATATCTCTGTTACGAAAATAAAATTAAATTAATGACTTTAACGTAGAGGCGTGATCACGTAATTTTGCAAATAATACAAACCGAGTTTAACCCTGGTGATGACACTTTGCTGTCTAAATGAAATTGTTCCGGAACAACACTTTTCGTAACGAAGCGCGTCTAGATACCGGGTACTCTGCTTGCAACTGGGCGGCTTGGGTTCGATTCTTTGCATAAAGTTTTTTTTTCACAAAAATTCGTATCCCAATTCCGCGGAGATTAGGTTACACCGGTCAACAAAAAAATATTTTTTTTTGCGCATGGGATTTACATAATATATTCTGACTATAATAAGCAAAAATAAATAAAAGTGCGATTAGACATCGAAAATATTTGCTTTTACAAAAGTTTAGCGAGTTGATTGAAAGCTTTCAGAGGCGAAAATTAAAGCTGGAATCTTTGTTTTCCCTCAAATAAAAAGGAATATGGCGTGTGATATTTTCCCACGGTTACTTAGGAAAGAGGAAAAAAAATCCTGGAGAGTTTTAAGGTTTCAGTATTTCCTGGGAAACCATAAAGCTGAAAATTATGACGAGCTGGCAGGATTTGGTTTGGCATCATCGGGTATAGAATGTTGTCTCTAAAGATGCACAGGTTACATTCTCATTTAGATCAATTTGAGGATAATAAGGGGGCTTATTCGGAATATCAAGGACAACACTTTGATCAAGACGTAATAGAATTTAGGCACGTTACCAAGGCCAGTACGCTGGAAGCATGATGGAAGATCATATTTGGGGGTTGATGAGAAAAACGTCAGTTGAACATGACAAAACAAAACAGCAAAACTGTTCCATTTTTAAACATTTAGACTCTTAAGACAAACAAATTATAAATGTAGGAACGTTACCTTTTAATAAATCATTCCTATGTAAGTAAGATTTTATAGGTATTTTTATTTTTTTGATTTTTTGCATTTTTTTCCCACAAAATCAAATACATAACCTTTATTTGTTCTAATTCTTATTTGTGTCTATACAAGCAATAAAAATAAGGTATATATTATGTCCCATGCGCAAAAATGCTGTAGACCGGTGTTATTTATAGATTGAAGAGTGCCTTCTCAATTTTTTTTTAAAGCAAAGTACAAAAATGCTGTGGAGGGACACCGGATAAGGGATTACATTCAGGGGCTTTCCCGTATTTCCTAGCCATCTGGCAACCCTAGATCATGTTCCTCGTCACACTGAAAGGAATGTGTTTGCGATGCTATCATAATGTTACATGTTAGTCACAAATTTGTTGCAGCAGCAAAATTTGATACTTTATAACAAAGGTAGTTTTCAAAGACAAAAGGTCATGATTTCTGTTAACCAGATTGGTTGCTGTTACTAGTTCGTCTGTCGTACTTAATAACAGGCTTGTTAGTTCAACAAATTAGTTTTGTTCAGGATAGTTTTTGCTGTCCTCTAGTAAAAAGAGTACCATAAACCGGGGCTACTTTGACATGTTTTGACAGGTTTTTTTGAAGTGTAGGTTTTTCCAGGGCCTAAAACTGAAGTTTTTGAATTTGAATGGAACAATTGGACCCTTGTGTATAGAATTGCTAGCAAGTGACTTCCTGAAAGATTTTCCAAATATATTTTTTTATTTTTTCAAAATGGTGTCAAAGTAGCCCCATAGTCGGGGTTACTTTGACATGGCATTTAATACGGTAAATAGTCAAAGATAGATACAATAGGGGCTACTTTGACACCATTTAAAGAAAAAAAACCAAGGCATCCATCAATCTCTTCAGTAACACTGGAAACTGTTCTTTGGGTATAGTGCCTTTCCTTCTCGACTCTTGTCTCCATTGATCAAGAACCTTGCGCCATTGTTTTTTCATAGGAGCAAAAATTCCCACGTCGAGTGGTTGTAGCATATGGGTGGAATTAGGAGTTAGTGTAGTGAAATAAATATTGTTATCTTGTACGGTCTTGATAACCTCTGGTGCAAAATGGGACGCTAAATTGTCACCCATTACGACAACTTTTTCGTCTCCTATTCTGTGTTTCTTGATATGTGGTAGAAGGATCTTGAAGAACCAAATCTCGAATTGAAGCATGTCGAACCAGCCACTGCTACTATAACTATAGACAGTTCCTGATGGTCCCCCCTGGATCCAATTGTCGTAGAGATTCTTCGCCTTATAAACGACCATGGGAGGGATCATTTCTCCTCCAGCAGTACCACAGAACATTATGCTTATGGACGATTTTGAATGTTCCTTAACTCTTTCGACCCGTTTGCGACCACGCGGCACTAGAACTTTCTGCGCGCCCGGATCGTCAGTTATGTTCGTCTCATCATAATTATAAATGAGATCTGGGCGTGTCTGTTCCAAGGTCGGTCTCAAATTTTCGAAAAACTCGGTTATTTCGTTAACTCCAACTGATGATCGTGCTATTTTAGGGGTTAGGAAAAAAACCACTGGAAAAAAAACCCCGGAAATAAAACCCCCGGAATAAAGACCCCCGGAATAAAAACCCCTGGGAAAAAAAACCCCAGGAAAAGAAACCCAGCAAAATTCAAATTCAAAATAATTTCTTATACAACTGCAAATTTTATTATTTTCAATGTTCATTAGCTCATTTCTTCCCTTAATCCCAGACATTCCTAATGAGTTTTTGTAGTTAAATGGGTAATTAATGAGCGCGGTAAAATAAAATCTCCTATTATTATTGCATTTTGCAAATCTTGTTGATAAGTGCACTTAATCGTAATTAGGCATTCTTAATGGGGTTACATTCTTTTCAATCCCATTGACGATGGTTTCTATATAAATTAATATTTTCAAAATAATTGTTACAATTTAACAAACTATGGAGGTGATAACTTCAAATAAAGGTGGTCAAAAGTTATGTTTTGGTGGTTACATGTACGTTGTACATAAACGATGTGCTAACAATATTCGCTGGAGATGTAATAAATATACTTCATTAAAGGTAAACCTTTTTTTATTTTTTGCCATTATACCACTATGGTCTATAGCGCAATCAAAACCGAGAACGAGACATTTCGTGGATTGCCACAGTAGAACGGTCAGGTATTAAAGTGTTCTACTTTGGCAATGCACGAAATATCTCGTTCACGGTTGTGATCCTACTATAAGTGTTAGGTATAACTTCAATAAATGAATATTTTAAATAAATTTATTTACTTTTTATAGTGCCGGGCGATACTCGTCACGTCGTTGGACAATGAGGATCCAGATTTACGGGCAGAGCATAATCATCCTAATAATGCCGAAGAAATCAATGCGGTCAAGTGTATCCAAGGTATGAAGGTTAGAGCTAGGGATACATTGGCTAAACCTATTCAAATATATGCCGAAGCTGTGCAACAATTGCCAAACTCGACACGTGCTGTATTGCCAACTGAAGATGCAATTAAAAGGACGTTGCGAAATCACAAGGGCGCTAAATTTCCAGATCCACAAAGCTTGCAAGAACTTCTTATTGAAGGTACGGTAAATTTGTAGTTTATTGGTATTTTGTAGAAACGTATTGCGTGAACATATATTAATTTTCCTTTCGTTATTTTTAGGCGACTGGCGTACTACAGGAGAGCCCAACAATGAAAGGTTCCTCCTACATGACAATGGACCAAATTCGGACGAGCGGGTGATAATATTTGCTACTGATGGATGTTTGGTCCATCTTGCGAATTCTACAGCGTGGTTTGTAGATGGGAACTTCTCTCTAGCGCCAAATCTTTTTTTGCAACTATATGTGGTGCGTGTCAAAATACAAGGACTTTTTGTAACATGCGCTTATAGTTTGTTGCAAAGGAAGACACAAACCAGTTACGAAATCATGCTCAGGGCACTAGTAAGCAGTTGCGAGGAGAGAAATCTGTTTCCAGATCCTCTATCAATAAACATGGATTTTGAAAGAGCTGCAATTCAAGCATTTCAGGCTGTATTTGGAGATCATATTACTATTCGCGGGTGCTTTTACCATTTGTGTCAGTCTACCCAACGAAAATTACAAGAACTTGGGTTGCAACGTCGCTATCGAGAAGATGAAGATTTTTCAAACTTTTGTGGTATGCTGGACGGCTTAGCCTTTCTACCTTTGGAAGATGTTGCCAGAGGTATGGAGTTTTTAAGGCAAAACATCCCCGAAGGTGCCGAAGACCTCGTGGAGTACTTCGATGCCACGTACGTGTCAGGGACAAATAGACGAGTAGGAAATGTCAATGATGATAATGTGCGGATACGAAATGTCCCGCCGGTTTTTCCTCCGCCTTGCTGGAATGTACATAATACCACCCTTCAAGACGATGAGCGGACTAACAACCATACCGAAGGTTGGAACCATCGATTTTCGACCTTGGTCGGCCAAAACCATCCCACCGTATGGGTGCTCATACAAAAAATGAGGCAGGAATTATCGACGGATGAAACCAAGGTGCAGCAGCGACAAATAGGAAGACAAATGCCGAAAAAGAAAAAGCCAGCTTATGTTGTTATGCAGGCTAGGCTGAAACTGTTATGCGAAGAGTATCGGGATGGAGTAAGGAATTTAGTAGATTTTCTAAATGCTGTTAGCCATAACATAAGATTTTAATAACCATACATGTACATGTGTTCAGTGATCTCACCTAATAATAACTGTTACCCTGTACCATAATGTTTTTTTATTCTATTTCAATAAATATACTTTTTTCATTATTGCATTAATTAATTACCCATTTCAATGTACCAACTCATTATTATGAATTGGGTTAAGAGAACTTATGAGTTAATCTGCAGTTGTTACCAACTTCGCTTAAATTTTGTTCGGGGTTTTTTTTCCTGGTGTTTTTTTTCATAGGGGTTTTTATTCCGGGGGTTTTATTCCGGGGGTTTTATATCCGGGGTTTTTTTTCCAGGGGATTTTTTTCCTAGATTCGCTATTTTAATGTTTGTAGCTAATCTGTGACTGAGATTATTTCTCGCAGCAAAGTCATTTACAAAATCGTATCCAGGCACGTTACCATGCCACTGTGGAATATTTCTGCCTTGCTTAGACACAAATTTTTCGATTACGCTGCGAATATCTTTTTTTGTCATGGGAAATCCCCAGTCTGCTACGACACCCAATGACTCAGCAATTATTTTCTCTTCTTCCGGCGTCAAAACTGGTGGATGCCCCGGGTTGCCTTCGTGTTTGTGATGAATCCTATTAAGGATGGTAGTTCGGTTAATTTTGTACTTCTCGGCAGCTGCTTTCTGGCTAAGTTGACCACTTCGAACCTATTCAACAGCTTTTGCAAGATTTTCATCGCTATAGTTTTTATAACTTCGTGCTCCCAATTTTTTTTTATACGTTCTGACCATGGCAATGCAGAATTCATACTGAGTATGTAGGTACGGTAGTACACCGACCACCTCCCGTAAGACGTCTAAGATGATTGCGCCGGTGCAATCAACCGTTTCCTATTCATTTTATGCATGTGTCAAAGTAGCCCCAAAACCTGTCAAAGTAACCCGTAAAGTCAAAGTAGCCCCGGTTTACGGTACTGTTTATGCTGCTGCGGCATTTTGGTGTATGCGAGCGTACTGCGAATGCGGCGCCATTTGTGGTTTACTTTTTGTGGTGTTGTTATTAGTTTATTAGCAAGTGAAATTATTGTTATTATCATGGAAATGGCCAAAATTCAAACCGTGGAAGACCTTTTGCGAGAATGGGGCTTAGAAAATTTTATTCCCGCATTTCAAGGTAAGCTCATTTACCATTACTTAATTTCGAGTTGTTCCATGTAAAATATCGAAACTAACTGACAACAAGGCAACGGCACCGCACTACCACCTATCTGAATGGGGCTTATTCAGATAGGTGGTAGTGCGGTGCCGTTGCCTTGTTGTGCGGTGCGAGTCGGTGCTGTGAAGTTGACATTTGCTTTCACAATCACCGCAAAATTGGCCCGCCTACACAAGTATGACCAATCAACGACAACAGCAACAAATATGTTGCACTTCTATTGGTGCTTGCTAACGGTAGGGCAGAAAGTTTGAAGTTTACATACTTTCGGCACGCGGCTGCAATTCGTCTGCACTGCACATGTCATTGTGAATTGTCATATGGATATGCGTATTTCAAACTTTTATACAAAGGCACCGCACCGCAACAGCACTGCACTACCACCTATGTGAATGGGGCTTAAACTTCAAACTTTCTGCACTACCGTTAGCAAGCACCAATAGAAGTGCAACATATTTGTTGCTGTTGTCGTTGATTGGTCATACTTGTGTAGGCGGGCCAATTTTGCGGTTATTGTGAAAGCAAATGTCAACTTGACAGCACCGACTCGCACCGCACAACAAGGCAACGGCACCGCACTACCACCTATGTGAATGGGGCTTTACATACTTTCGGCACACGGCTGCAATTCGTCTGCACTGCACATGTCATTGTGAATACTGTGTAGGCAATATTGTGAAAGCAAATGGACAGCACCGACTCGCACCGCACAACAAGGCAACGGCACCGCACTACCACCTATGTGAATGGGGCTTTACATACTTTCGGCACACGGCTGCAATTCGTCTGCACTGCACATGTCATTGTGAATTGTCATATGGATATGCGTATTTCAAACTTTTATACAAAGGCACCGCACCGCAACAGCACTGAACTGCCACCTATGTGAATGGGGCTTTAACCTAATACAATTAATATGCTACCTAATAGGTTTCATGTATAATTGAGTTTATACGCATTTTATTTACATACCTGGGATAAAATTGCGCAATTTTTTTTATCATGACGACAGTCAACGTTTATACAAAGTTGTTGAATGTTATTATTGTCAAGTTGAAGTTTTTAACAATATGATGAAATTGGTTGGTATACCTTACAATGGGGTAGCTCGATCAGGAATGGTAAATACACGAAATCTCCCCACGCATCCAAAATTTAATGACAGTTAAAGTTGACAGGTAGTACTGATGAAAAGACAGAACATGTTTCGGGACGCACCTCGTTCCATTATCAAGTGTTGCATAAAATTATCATTACATAAGTAATTGCTAAAAAACATTAAAAATTAGACCTAACTCAATCATAAGTGAAACTTACCAAGAGGAAAAAACAGATTAAAATTAAGTTGACGACACATTTAAATTAAGGTTGTTGTGTCTGAAGGACAACAAACAATCCTTTTTTACATAATTTTGATTAAGGGGGGGGGGGGCAAAGCGGACCACAGCTTAACAGGAAGAAACGTCTAACAACGTGGTGTTTTTGTGAGACAGGTTATGTGAAAGTTGGATAATTACACTAGAAAAGGCAGCGTTACCAACTTAAATACCAACTAAGATAAACAAATTACCTAGATCTAAGATTTCTAAAATTCCGTACATAACAAATCCGGAGGGAAGTCTATGATTTCATTGACTAAACCAGGGTCGTTCTTGTACTTATTGATGGTTTGTATCTCAAGCATGTTAAGCAATGAACCTTTGTTTAAAATAAGGAGAATTTGACAATCGGAGTTGGTATTAAAGGAGTGACCCGAGGAGAGGATGTGTTCCGCAAAGGCTGATTTATTCGCGCTAATGTTGTTAGTTTTTATACACTGAAGGTGTTCTTTAATGCGGGTAGTGAAGGAACGTCCTGTTTGGCCAATGTAAAAACAGTTAAGTGAGTGGCAATTCAGTCTATAAACCCCTGACAGGTCTAACTTGTTGATTGGGTCTTTATTCTTAACCAGAACGGAACGCATGGTGTTATCGTTGGAGAAAGAAATATGGATGTTGTGTCTGGCAAATATGTTCTTAAGGGAGTAAGGGAAAAAAGGAATCGATCTGTATATTTTACTTTCTTTATCCAAACTTGTATTTAACGGTATTAAATTTGAGTTTTTAATTTTATGGAACAGCACATTACTTTTTTAGGGTTTTTAGTTGTGGAGAGAGGTTTTATTTAATAACATTCCTAAAACTAACTATTTACAATTAATTACAATCTTGTGCATGACACGTCCTTGTTCCGACGGGAACGGGTCCGTAAGCTGAATCGGCGAGGATCTCGGAGCGTCGCGACGCACGGGCACGTATTCTCGTACAGGGCTCCTCGTACGTCGATGAGGTATAGCGTCCACTGCGGCGTCACTGGCAGAGACTTCATCGGCGACGGTGGAAGTGGAGATACCATCCGTGGAGGTGGAGTGCGTCGCCAAAACTGTGCGAACACGTTGCGTTCGTGCTTTCGCTGCCGCTTCCGTGTACGGGGCGTCTTCGGCATGGATGAGCGGGGCGCTGTGTTTGGTTTGAGCGCTCGCTATAGAGCATAGCGTGCTCGCTGAAAAGCAGAGCGTAATTGCACGCTAGGGAGCAGTGCGTTGAGCTGAACCGCGAATGCTTCTTGGGCCGTCCGCGCCCTCTTTTAAACCCCATTTGGGTAGTGGGGAGCGCGGCCGTGCCGGTTTGGCCGAGGGTGCGCTGCCCGGACGCAACGTTGCCGCGTGTCTTGCGCCCTTGCCGGACTTCGGCGGGCTAAATCACACTTTATTCACCACACTGTCTTTTCCCTTGTGAAAGATGTAGCATCTTTGTGTAGAATGTACCTATGTGCTCCATGACCCAATAAACGGCGCGCTGTAGATCCCCCCGCTCGTTGCGAGCCTCCGCCAGTTTCCAGGCAAAGTTCATCAATGCGTGGGCGGGAGGCACAGCGGCAGCGGGTAAGGCCGGGGCGGCCTGGTGATGCAATATTGTTAGCGCCACCATAGGCCACTCCAGCGCTAAAGCGGGGAAGGTGAAAACCATATCTTCAGTGCTGAACCGTGATCCCGCTTTTGCTAGCCACATAACAACTTGGATGTCAATCGGATCGTAATCCACACCCTGTAGGAGAGTAACTCCCCCGAGGGCGATGACATTCAAGATGACATTGGAGTCTAGATTGGCGTCGTATTGCCCGCCATGGGGAAGGGTTGGGCTGGCATGGGGGGCATGCCCAAGTACTCCGCGACTTGGATGCACAAAGCATTCCAAAGCAATTTGGAGTACAGGGCCATATTATCGTACCCTTGGCACATGTGCGTTAGTTGCCCAGACAAGTTACGGAGGGCCGACTGAGAGGCCATACGTAAAGCTGGCTGCAACGCGGACGTAATAGCCCGCTCGTTGGGTACCCCACCGAGATTAAATTGTTCTCCTCAGTGGAGAGGGCGCGCCGAACGCCGTTCGCCCCCCAGCGAACCCGGGGTGCAATGTACGGATTGTCGACGACGGGGTTATTCACCACACGCCGTAGATAAAAATGGACTCTAAAGATAAAAAAACTAAAGACTTAAATAAAGACAATATAAACATAAGTGACAATGACAAAATTAATGACAATAGTGTTGAGGACATGGAAGTACAATCTTCATGTAGTGAAGTAGATATTTTAAGTGAAAAATCAAATAGAAAGAGAAAGGTGAATAGAGATAGTGGAGATGAAAATAAGGAAACAAAAAAAGAAAGAAAAGAGAGAAAGCGTAGGGAGTTAACGGAAATTATTAAAACAACAATACCTGACGATATAAATAATATAGATAATTTAAAAGTAATAAACAAAATGGAAGAATTAAACAAACACATTATGGACCTAACTTTTAATACAAATACAAAAATTAATAAAACCGAATCAAAAAATTTAATAGAAAAAATGAACGATCTTAAATCTTTAGTTAATATAGTATTGCAAAAAGTGTCACGTGATATCAAACGCCAATCAGAGCGCGTGACGTCATTATCCTAATCCTCTATGCGTTTGTAGAGTTTGTCTACGTTTTTTAA